AATTTGGGGGGGGTTTTTTTTTGGGGGGGGGGGGGGGGGGGGGGGGGTTTTTTTTTGGGGGGGGGGGGGGGGGGGGGATAAAAAAAAAAATTTTTTTAAAAAAAACCGCCCCCCCAAAAAAAAAAAAAAACCCCCCCCCCTTTTTTTTTTTTTAAAAAAAAAACCCCCGGCCCCGGAATTTTTTTTTTTTAAAAAAAAGGGGGGTTTTTTTTGGGGAAATTCTCTAAAAAAAAAATTTTTTTTAAAAAGGCCCCCTTTTTTTTTAAAAAGGAAAATTTTAAAAAAAAAAAAAACCCCCCCTTTTAAAGGTTTTTTTTTTAAAATTTAAAAAAAAAAACCCCCTTTTTTTTAAAACCCCCCTTTTAAATTTTTTTAAAAAAAAAAGGTTCCAAGGGTTTAATTTTTTTTTAAAACCGGTTTCTTTTTTTTTAAAAAAAAAAAAAAAACCCTTTTTAAAAAAACCGGGTTTAAAGGAAAAAATTTTTAAAAAAAAAAAAAAATTTTAAACCTTTTTTAAAAAAAGGAAAAAAAAGGTTTTTAAAAAAAAACCCAAAACCAAAATTTTAAGGTTTTTTTTTCCCCCCCCCCCCCCCTTTTTTTTTTTCCCAAAAAACCCAAAAGTCCTTTTTTTTTGGGGGGCCCAAAAAACAAAAAAAAAATTTTTTTAATTTTTTTTTTTAAAAAAATAAAAAAATTTTTAATAAAAAAAAAAAAACCGGAAACCAAGGGGGGGCCCAAAAATTAAAAAAAATTTTTTTTGGGAAAAAATTTTTTTTCCCCCTTTTTTTTTTGGGGTTTTTTTTTTAAAAAAAAAAAAATTTTTTTTGGGGGTTTTAAAAATTTTGGGGCCTTTTTTTTAAAAAAAAAAATTTTTTAAAATTTTTTTTTTTTTAAAAAAATTTTAAAAAAAAAAAAAACCCAAAATTTTCCACAAAGGGGGGGGGGTTTTTTTAAACCCTTTTTTGGTAAAAAAAATTTCCAAAAAAAATTTTTTTTTGGGTTTCCCCCCCTTTGGGGCCCCTTTTCCCCTTTTTTTTTTTTCCCCTTTTAAAGGGGGAAAAAAAAAATTTTTTTGGGCCCCTTTTCCCAAAAAACCTTTTAAAAAAATTTTAAAAAGAAAAAAAAACCCCCCCTTTTTTTTTTTCCCCCTTTTTTTTTTCCCCCTTTTCCCCCCAAAAAAAAAAAAAAAAATTTTTTTTTTAAGGGGAAAAAAAATTTTTTTTTTTTTTAAAAAAATAAAAATTTTTGGGTTTTTTTTTTTAAAAATTTTTTAATGGTTTTTTTTTTTTTAAAAAATTTTTTTTTGGGGGAAAGGGGTTTTTAAAAATTTTTAAAAAATTAAAAAAAACCCCCCCTTTTTTTTTAAAAATTTAAAAAAGGGGGTTTTAAAATTTTTTCCCCCAAAAACTTTTAAAATTTAAAAAAAAAGGGGGGAAAAAAATTTGGGGGTTTCTTTTAAAATTTTTTTCCCCCCTTTTTGGAAAAAATTTTTTTTTAAAATTTTGGGTTTAATTTTTTTAAAAAAACCCAAAAAAAAAAAAACCCCCGGGGGAAAAAAATTTTTTCCCCCGAAAATTTTGTTTTTTAAAAAGGTTTTGGGGGGTTTTTTAAAAAAAAAAAAAATTTTTGGTTTTTGGAAATTTTTTTTGGGGGGGAAAATTTTAATAATTTTTTTGGGGTTTTTTTTAAAAAAAAAAAAAATTTTTTTAAAAAAAGGGTGAAAAAATTTTTTTAAAAAATTAAATTTTTTTTTGGGTTTTTTTTTAAAAGGGTTTTTAAAAAATTTTGGGAAAAAAAGGGGGGGTTTAAAAATTTTTTTAAAAATTTTGGAAATTTTTTTTTTTTTTTGGGGGGGCCCAAAAATTTTTTTTGGGGGGAAAATTTTTTGGAAAATTTTAAAAAAATTTTTCCCCCTTTTTTTTTTTGGGGGGGGGGGGTTTTTTTTTTTTGGGGGTTTTTGATGGGGGGTTTTTGGGGGGTTTTTAAAAGGGGGGTTTTTGGGGGGGGGGAAAAAAAGGGGGGGGGGTTTTTTTTTTGGGTTTTTTGGGTTTTTTTGGGGGTTGGGGTTTTTCCAGGGGGGTGGGGGGGGAAAAAATTTTTTTTTTTAAAAAAAAAAAAGGGGGTTTTTTGGGGGAAAAAGGGGGGGGTTTTCCCCGGGGGGGGGTTTTGGGGGTTTTGAAAATTTTTAAAAATTTTTTAAAAATTTTTGGGGTTTTTGGGGTTGTTTTTTTTTGGGGGTTTTTTAAAATGTTTTGGGGGGGTTTTTTGGGGGAAAAGGGGGGGGAAAATTTTTTTTTTTAAAAAAAAACTTTTTGGGAAGAAAAGGTTTTTTTAAAAAAAGGGGGGTTTAAAAAATTTTTTTAAAAAAAAAGGGGGAAAAAATTTTTTTTTTTGGGGAAATTTTGGGAAAAAAAAGTTTTTTTGGTTTTTTTGGGGGTTTTGTTTAAAAAAAAAACTTTTTTTTTTTGGGGTTTTTTTTATTTTAAAAAATTTTGGGGGG